AAAATGCTTGTATTTTAAAAGCAAACTTAAGTTATCTTTATTTATATTTCTTCCTTCCTTCCTTCCATGAGTGACAGACAGAGAGGACCCATAACCAGGCATAGAGGCCATGGTCCATCCCCGCCTCTGCCTGCCCCAGGCCATAGGCAGCACACTCAGGGAGGTTTCTGGACACGGATCCAGAACCTTTCCATGTACATCAGCCTCAGAGAAGCCTGTGTTTCACCACCGTACTACCATCTGACCCCTTTAAAAGTGACTTTTCAATTTATTTATTTAATTAGTGACTAATGGATCATCCGCTCAGAGTAAGACGATGAAGGGGGAGTACACAAGAGTAGAGTTAGGAAGGGAATGAAAACTGTTGCAGAGAGCAGACAGACATTGAAGAGGACCCCTGATTAGCATGTGTTTAGGGATGGCTCAATAAAGAAGTGGATTGTTTTCATTTTATTTTTATTCATTCGCTGTGCTTTATCATTCATGCCTCATGGTCATGTCAAAGGAGTTGAGTGACTTAGAAATGTGCATACCATAGAATCTAGCAGAGGCTCTTGAGTAAACTCATCACTGAAATGCTGAAGGAAGTTAACCTTTTTTATGGTTCTCCTGGTATCCAGTTGGTGAAGTATAGAAAAGCAAAGGTCATATGCATTTGGGTGAAAACGTGGTGGACTTCATGCTCTGGTCTCGGACTTGCCATCTTTCATGATCCCATCAAGTCTCAGGTTCCTGGGTGTTGACCACTCTTCTGTTACTCCATCCTCCCCGTGAGGTCCCACCCTAGTGATGCCCTTCTGTGCCCATGCCCTTCGCTTCTTTCCTCTGGCCAGAGGATTTCTTTAGAGTGTCATAATAATATTTCACAGTTTCTGGGCCACTCTTTTTGCTCTACCAGTCTCACACAAACCAACAGATTAATATGTTTTTCTTTAAGCATCATTAATTTGTTATTGTTGTTGTTGTTGTTATTTTTAATTTGACCAGAAAAAGAGAGAGGGAAAGTGAGAAAGCAAGCCACTGGGTCTGGGACTTGAGCCATGGTCTGTCATGCGAGAGTCCAGTGCCTTAACCATCGTGCCACCCGTTGGCCTCCAGATTAATATTTCTATTTTCTATTGTTCTGTACATAGTGCTTTCTTGCACCAAAATGTACTGGTTCCCGCTGCCTAGTAGACCATGCGCCCACTCTCCAAAGTCGAGATGTATGATCCCCAGAACGCTTAGATGACCCTTGCCTGGTTGTCTCCCATCACTACCCCACAGAAATAAGCACATCACCCAATGAGAACGGTTCAATGTCTGTTTTAAAAGTGAGCATTTCTTATGCTGTGGCCAAGTCGATTATTTAGCGATACCTTATATTGTTACATGTATCAATAGTGACATCTCAGTTCTCTCTGTGAAAAATGTAGGCACTACGTTCATCGACCGTAAGGATGCTCAGTTAATTGGCAGGTATGCTGACTTTTTGTTTCTGCCTTTCGGCATCAATGCTGTGCCATCAGAAAGCCAGCTCAATCAGGCCGTACCAGAACAATATCGTGTTCTGACCTCACGGCTCCTAGCTGTCTTTCAGTTCATTGTAGTGCTTTGTTTACTGTCACTTACATTGACTTTTTTCTACCATATAGTGTAGTAATTTGCATACTTATGTATCGTTCTCTTTCTCCACATTTTTTTTTAGAGGTTTTTGCTATAGGGCGTGTGCGCTCACCAGAAAGACAGAGAGAGACAGAGAGACAGAAAGTGAGAAGTCACCCCCAGGAGGGATGGCCACGCCGTATTCAATTCTCCTCCATTTTCCTCTTGGGATCTTGGGTTCGCACGCACACATGCCTGGCATGAGTTTAAGCCACCGGGTCCAGGACTCGAACCGTGGTTGACTCCATGGGAGTCCAGCGACATAGACATTACACTAACTGCTGGTCCCTCTTTCTGCACAATTTGAGAGCACAGTTCCATAGGGCACATTTTTCCTTTTTGTTTTAGTTTGCTAGAGTACTTGTGCTCTCCAAAGAGAAAGAACAAGAGAGAGGGAAAGTAAGAAAGCACCCCCGTGGGTCACAGCCATGCTACAATCGCTTCTCCTCCATCTCCCCCACCTTTGGGGGTTTGGGGCCGACACACATGTGCCCAACGTGCTCTTCAAGCTACTGCATCTGGGACTCACTGGACTGTCGGCTGTGGGACCCAGCTCCCTTAACCACCAGGTCATGGGTTGACCCGACAGATTTTTCTTACCTCTCATTTAGTCGCTATAGTTCCCATGACCTGAGATATACTAATCAAGGATTTTTATTATTTTTTTTTAATTTTTTTGTGTCCATTTTGTAACCACTGCTGCTGTTCTTGCGATTGCAGGACCATTTCCTCAATTGTAACCTTACATAGAAATTCATAGAAGAAAAAACAAATACACTCACTCCGGTTGGAAAGGAGTGACTGTTGTAGTCTTCCCAAATGTCCCCCCACCACTGTTATGACTCTGCAGAACACCGCTGGCTCTGTTCAGTCTTGTCTGAAAACTACAGTGTTCCGTTTATATGCCACAGTCAAGCCGGGAGAGGTCTCTTACTGTTACCCCTCAGTGGTTTACCAGAAGTCTTAAGTTTGTGCTTAGAATACATATTTTTTGAGAGAAGGGTGCATGACATTGCATGTGGACTGGTGGTGAACTTAAATTTTATACAATCACAATTCGTTTATCACAAAACTTTACCACTGATGAATGTCATCCCCTCCATTGAAAACATCTGGAAATTGATGAGAAGGAGGTAAAGTGGGTATCGTAATAGGATTCCATGTTTCCAGCACTAAAATTACTTAGGGATAAAGTGTGTACAAGCTTTCATGCTCTCTTGCCTTTTAAAAAAAGAAGTCTAGAATAGTAGAGAGATGGCATTTTGTATGTCTTCAGGATGAAGAGAGGGGTCGATAGATTGGTTTCGGGCAGAGTGTTCTTTTGTGTTCTGGAAGGCTTGGGTCATGACAGTTACAGACATGGGAAGCAGTCAGATAAAAATAACCTTGGCTATGAGGGAAGAAATTGGTTCTGCTGGGACGTGTTCCTACCAGTGTGAGAAAGGTTTCTTGGAAAAGAGGTAGAAAATTGCTGTGAATTCTGATCTGAAGAGATGCCGAGTTTGGCTTCTCTCTGGAGCTATAGACTCCCAACTGATAAGGGGAAAAAATACTCTAAATACAAACATTCAAGAAAAAAGAGAGGAGAGAAGAAAAAGGGACATGGGAGGAGAACATGAAGTAATGTTTGCCTTCGGGGCATAACGATTAAGTTAGATTCTTCACCAAATGTAGTTTTCTAATCTTGTTCTTACAACCCAAGCCTTTTACTCATTTTCCTTCCTTCCTTCCTTCCTTCCTTCCTTCCATCTCTCTGTCTCTGTCTCTGTCTCTTCCTCTCTCTTCCTCCCTATTCCACCTTATTGTTTGTTTTTATTTCATGTCCAACAGAAGGGGACATGGATATTTTGTATGGTCTGTTATGTAGACGTCCTTGAGAATGGTGGCAAGGCGCTGTGGGACCAGCCTGACAAGACGACAAGCTGGGGGAGATAGCCACCAGGTTAGCCCCATCCCACGCAGCTTAGCGCTGGAAGAACAGGCTGAGCTACTATTTCCTGGTCATCCCTCTCCAGACTCAGTAATTAGACTAGGTATTTGAGGAGGAGCTTATAATTCTGTGGCCCAGTAGAAAGTGTTCATGAGGGTGACTTTCTAAAATAGTTGTTGATAGAGATAATTACTCATTGGGTTTAAAAGAATTCACCATAGCCCTCAGGTGAACATCTGCTGATGAATCTGACTTCCGATCCAGTCTGTGTCTATGGAACAGAAGGATAAGAGGTTGGCTAAGACCCAGGAAGGAGTGAGCAGTGAGGCATGTTACTACTCCTCTTTGCTATGAGGGGGTCTGATGCACAAGTTTCCCATGGGTCACGTGGCAGGTGGATGACTTGCAGGATGCCTGCTGAGCTATGTGATTAGCAGCAACTCAGCTCTGCTGATGGTAGAGCTGTGGATGGGAAGGAAATCCACGCCAGAGCATGTCCCCAGAAAAGAAACTATATAGAGGTATCCCCTCTGTCAGTGTCCTGGAAGGTTACATGTGCCTCACAGCAAAGACACCCACTGCTCAGAGGGAACCAAGCTTGGCCCCGCCTGCCACAAGAAGGCTGCCATAGCAGTGAGGCAGGGCATTTCCATCCTCCTAATCCTCTGCCTCATTCCTGCACAGCCTGGGGAGTGTAGCTCCAGGCGAGAGAAGGAAAGAAACATTGCAGGAACAACTACCTCTGTGTTCGCCCTTAGGTCCCTTGCATGGTGATGCAAGATGAACATGATAAATAATTTGAATATGAGGTGGAGATGGAACTTGACTGGACTTCTTAGAGCCAGAGTGACTAGAACATGTGGGATGTATCCGAGATGACGCTGAGGAGACGAGACACCAGAACAGGATGGCTGACAATAGCCATCAGAGAACGATGGAACTACCTGATGCTTGCACCACCACAAGTTGTGGACCATTCAGTACTCTCATGTTCCTGGGGGACCCTTGCGATTGCCTTGTGTTTACACTGTCTGCCATAACTCTGGCAAAGTCAGCTGAGAGAGCCGGCTGGCTCTCACAGCACAGTCCTGAGGATCCGGTGCTCACGGCAGCATGACTAGCATGATTACTCATCACCTCTTTGGTTCTACCAACTTGACCCATAGTAACTTACTACAATTCTTGAGTCAGCTCTTAATTGTCTTATTTGCAAGACTGGCTTCTGTTATTTGTGACAAATTTGAATAAAAACTTCCCAATAGCTGTGGTGGATTTTTCTTTCGATTTTCTATCAAATGGAGACAAGAAACTTGGACAAACGGATGTTTTAGATTTTTGACATCTCTAAGGAGTCAGTTTTTATTTCTTAAAAGGAGACCCACTGGACCCAAGCATGTATTTGAAAGCTATGGAACTACAAGGGGTTGGCCAGGGCCTGGGTCAGTAAGAGGCATCTGAGAAGCAGGGAAGATGGAGCCGGGCTTAGCAGCCGCCACTGGGATCCATTCGGCACTTCACAATGTTGAGGAGATTGTTGACCTTGTTCGCATCCCTGCGTACACAGCGGCACTCCACGTGGAAGCCATGAAGACGAGTATCCTGACTGGTCGACTTCAGACGCTGGAGTCCTGACCACGTGGAGTAGGCTTGGTTTTCTGCGACGCTGCCGGGGCGAACCTAATTTCCAGAAGAGGCAGTGACTTACCATCCCCATCATAATCAGGTGTAAATCCTCATTCCTTCTAACTGTCAGCTTTAGATTTGGGGAATGTACAGGCATCTACAACTTTAGCCAAATACACGCTTTTCGTGTATCTGGGTCAGTGGGTCAGAAATCTAACAGTAACCCACCCACTGGAAGTAGAGCACTTGCATACAGTTTCTGACATAGACAGGGAGTCTTTTTAAAAACTTACAGAAAATGCATATTATGAAAAAAAAAAGCATGGATTTTCATTTTTCGACACCAAAATAAGCCTGCACTGTAATTCCCTCCCCCCCACCCCACCAGATTTAGAAGTCCCCTTGTAAATCATGATGGGTGGAGAGTGTTTTGGCAGGAGTAGCTAGACGGAGAACCACAGGGTTGCCATCTGAGTAAAAATAGGGACTTGACCAGAGACAAGACAGTGGTTAATTTTAGCTCTCTGACTTGAGGACGAATTGTGCTTCCTGGATCTTGTTCCAGAGGTACCCTTTCAATTTTATTTTATTCTGTCAGTTCACCACTTAATTATTTTCTTCTTTGAACCAAATCTATTTTTTGTATAGTATCTGTAACAAAAAGCTTAGACACAGGACAATTGAGCCAGCCCATAGCCTAGAGATTAAGGGAACCAGATCCCACATGGCTGACTAGTTATAATCCCCATCCAGATGACTTGGAAAAAAACATAGGGTACATGTGTGTGCCCCAAATCCTGACAGTGTTGAGAAATAGAGGAGAAGGGACTATGGTGTGACTATACTCTATTGAGGGGTGCTCTGTCTCTCCCCTCGGCTCTCTGGTAAGCACATATGCCCTAGGACAATGAAAACAAACATGTATGAGGACTATACTTGGTGCTTCAAGGAATGGGTCCTCCGGGGACCGTGACTAAGAAGAGCTGCGGCTCTCATCAGGGACTCTCCTCCACTCAGGTCAGGTACCCCTTACGTTTGTATGGGGGAAGCTGCTTTCTTTGGGGATCCCCAAGATGGGAGGTGCTTGGAGAAGCACCCCTGAGAAGGAGGGGACTGGCAGCAACCACTCAGTGGTGGGCTGTGTGCCAGGGTTGGGGAATGACCATGACAGCAATGGCTGGGAGCAGATGGGGGAGGGAGTGCCTCATCTCTTCACATCCATCAGCCTTTGCAGCTCAGAGATCAAGTCACCCTCCTGGCACCTCTTGGGAGGTCAGCTAGCTCCATGCCAAGTGCGCATCCAGGACAACTGTATACCTTGGTTCGCTAAACTTTCTCTCACAGAGGGAGAATTTTCTTTTCTTCTTTTACTAATTTCTTTTTTTCTTTCATTGCCAGAGGGCACATGTGCTCACCAGAGGGGAGGGGGGGAGAGAGAGAGAGAGAGAGAGCGAGAGAGCGAGTGAGCACCCACCAACGGGCATGGTTATGCCATGAGACCTCCTCCATTTCCCCATCCTGTCAGGGTGTGGGGACACACATGTGGCATGTTTTTCAAGCTGCCAGGGTCAGGAACCCAGCTGCTGTCAACCAGGTAGAATCTGACTCTCTTAACCACTAGGCTACAGGGCCAGCCCCCCAATTTTAAATATGGAATTCATTATTTGTCATTTAAATTGTGTAGGTGCAAGTGTGTGTACATGTAGCCTTGTTTTGTATTTTCTTTTTTCTTTTTCTGCCTGAGCCCTCTAAAACAAAATTTACTCTGCAAGAGACAATAATATGAGGAAGAATAACAAGAAGGGGCAGGAGAGGAAGAAATGAAGGTCTACAGAACACGCTCGTGACCTCGGAGGTAGACTCATAGTTAGGAGGGAAATAACCTGAAAGTCAAGATGTTTGTTTCATATGTTTCAAGGTTAAAATGTGCTCCCAATTCATGTTGGATTTAGTCTTTTGCTGTGAAAAAGACCAAAATGACACACGAATACATGTACTTACTAGACAAAAAAAAATCTATAAAAGTGCTTCTGTGATTACTCCTCTAATTATCTATTTTTCTTCAGACGTTACATTATTTCTGAGAAATTCAGAAAGCTGTTTAGATGTTATCTCACCGCTGTTGAAATGATCCCTTCTGAATGGAGATATATATTGCAAACACATACTCCATTTTCGACAAATTATTTAGGGAGATTAAATGTGATACAAATTTCGATGCTGGCTCACCAAGGAAAGTAAAACATAGGATGAGATAACTCAATAAATGACAAAATAAAGAATATTCCAGAAAAATACAGCCCCTGCTTTTGTAACTTTGTGGAATTTGGTGTGTGGGGGACAACCTCAATGCTACAGTCTAATTTTCCACCCGCCTCCCTCCCTGGTGCATCCGTGCAGCAGAGCAGGGTGAGGGTGAGAACCATGCGATCTGACTCTGGTTCTTCCCTTTCTCCCTTCCCACTCTTATCCTTGGGCGCGAGGAAAAAAAAGAGGATCTGACCAGAATTTCAACAGTGGGTGTGTTGGCGGGCATGGTGGCGCCCGCCCTATGGCAAAAACAGTGGGTGTGTTGGGATACTTTAAAGAAAATATCTATCTTGCAATTTTTAAAATTTTTTTTTTTTGAGAAAGATTTTTGCTATAGGGTGCATGTGCTCACCAGAAAGACAGAGACAGAGAGAGACAGAAAGCGAGAAATCACACCACCCCCAGGGGGATGGCCACACCACAATCCCTTCTCCTCTATTCTTCCCTTGGGACCTTGGGTGTGTGTGTGCCTGGCGTGAGTTTTAAGCTGTTGAGTCCAGGACTTGAACTGTGGTCGACTACCCGGGAGTCCAGCAGTGTAACCATTATGACACCTGCTGGTCTCTGTCTTGCAGATATTATTTGGCGCTCCCTGTCCCCAGGAAGGGGAAGGCTTGGGCGCATTCATAGTTGTGGGTCAGCTGCACCCGTCGGATATCCCAGCAGGATTTTAGTTTTCATTTACATGAGACTCTAACTCTGAGTGAATGGGCTCTCGCTTTAAGAGCCTACATTGTGTTCTTGCAAAGTGAGGCATTTCCAACTCCTGTTTCATGCCAGAGGCCCCCCTTTCATGGGTGTGAGGAGGGGCTCACCTGCTCCATGATCTTCTGGACGCCTTGGAGGAGATGCATGTTCTGCGCCTCCACATCTTCGATTTTTGACAGGATGACTCTCGAGACCCGGGGCAGCTTACGCGCCTCCGTGAGCACATGGGACAGAGGCTCCTCCCAGGAGCGCAGGATGCTGAGGCACGTGCCCAGGAGCTGTTCGTTCTGAGCAGACACAGAGAGCACGTTAGCAGGAGGAGCCAGGGCCTGGAGGTGATGCCACAGCTACACGACTGGATCCACAGGGAGGGGGTCCAGGCTCGCTTCCCAAGACCTCCCTGAACACCTGGGCACTCAAGTTTGTGTGTGACCCAGGCCTGCTGAGATGGGTACACAATTACAGAGACCCTGTTGGGGGTGCCTGTCGGTCCGGCTCTCTTCCTCTTTGATGGAAGAGACAAATACACTCAAAATAAGCACAACAGCATGGGTTGAGTTCCGTGTGATATTTTCTCAGGATGCTTTGAGAATTAAAAGCAGTGATGCGCGCACGTGTTCTATAAAGCATCCGACAGTGTAGTTGCTCTGGATCGGCGTCGTTCCCTCCTCCCGTCCCATGTCCCTCCTCTCTTCCTCCCTGTTCTCTTATTATCCTCATCGTTACTGATGAGCATCGTGGACCGACAGACTACTGGTGCCTCTAATAAAATTCTGGAGGGAAAGAAGATTGTGTGTATTGAGGGTATTTACGTGAAGATGTTTATTCCAAGTCATGTTAAGACCGTGGTTATGCATGGAAGTCAGAAGGGAGAGGTTGATACGCAGATTTCGTCATCAAAACAGAGACAATAGTTGCAATTTGAAGAAGCAAAATATACTATCTTACAGGCCCTGCTGGGGGAAGGCAGGGGGCTCCGTGAAGACAGAGAAGGTCAGTGTCCGAGACGCAGAAGCAGAGGGAGCGGCTGGGTGATGCAGGAGAGAGCTCAAATCACATCGTGGGTGGGGTGGGAAGTGCAGTGAGGGAGTCAACAGTGATGCAGAAAGTGTGTTGGCTTTTCTCACACACACACACACCAGCGTCTGTCACCCAGGGAGAGCCAGCTCAGGACAAATGTTCCCATGGGCCCATCAGAACATGCTGGGCACATGGCCTTGGCTCAGGGAACATCGTCCGCGTGGACAGCGTATAGGCCTACGTTTTGGTTTGCTGCTGCTGTCCCCTCTAGCGGTGGACTTTGCTCCTGACTCGGCCTCCTGGGACTTCTCCTGTGACTGCATACGTGCCTGCATTTCCTCTGCACAGGTGCTTCCCACGACCTGCTTTGGTGCTGCTAACCCCCTAGAGCATGTGGTCCCGGTGTCCTGCCTTGGATGTTTTGGTGAGAAGAGTGGCTCAGACTTACAGTGTAACTTTGGGCCTGTTCCTTGGTGACCGGTGAGGGGATCAGAGCGGTGTGACAGGGGACGATGCCCTGGGAGAGGAATCCTTGTTCTCCAGAGTACTGTTGGTGCTGCACACAAAGAAGCAAACTCCATTAGTCGGGCTGAACCCCTTCCTGGGTTATACTAACAGACGCACGGCGTCCAAATTGAGGGGGACACAAAGTGGAAACCAGGACGTTGAGAAAGTAACCCTTCCGCCTACTTTTCCTTCCATGAACTCATTGTTTCCATCTAACTTTTCCAACTCCCACCCTCTTCGCTCCTTCGTTATTCTCTCGCTTGCTTTCATCCTCGCCACAGACACTAAAAAGAACAAAATGATGCAACAGTCGGCGTTCTCCTCAGTGCCGTCTCTCTTGCAGAGCATACCTGTGTCTGTATTTCACCGTCTCACCTGCGTTTACTGCGGGACCTGAGGGAGCCGGGTCCCCTAAGAGGCATTCTCAAGTTAACAACTTTCCTTTGACCGAGTCCACACACCTGTAACTTGCCAAGTTTACCAGAGACACAGAACACAACCTTCTTTACTTTTTACATTTTTGTCTTGACAAACTAAATCAGAAAAACAGAGTGCGAGGTTTTAGAAGACCTGAGACAATGAGAACAGAAAAAAAAAAAAAAAAAAAAACCACAAAGAAAACGACTATTTTGAAAAAGTTGTAAATGTTGAAAGGGATTACTAAGAAGGTTTAAAAGACAAAAGAAAGAGATGATTCGTTAGGAAGGAGGATAGGGCCAGCCAGTGCTGTGTGGATTAAGGTGCCTGGAGCCCACGTGACTGACTGCATGGTTCGAGTCCTGGACCTGGAGGTTTGGTGCTGGGTACACATGTGTGTGCCAAAAAGTCTTGAGAGGAGGGTGGAGGAGAAGAGATTGCGTGTGGCCATTATTCCTAGAGGATACTTCTCTCTCTCTCTCTCTCTCTGGTGAGAATATGTGCCGTATAACAAAAATACTTTTTATTTTATTCATTTAATTTATTTTTTTGGAGAGGGTTTGTGCTATAGGGTGTGTGTGCTTGCCAGAAAGACAGAGGGAGACAGAGACAGAAAGTGTGAAATCACCCCCCCCCCCCCACCAGGCGAGGTGACCATGCCGCAATCCCTTCTCCTGCATTCTCCTCTCGGGATCTTGGGCACGCATGCACACATGTCCAGCGTGAGTTTAAGTCACCAGGTCTGGGACTCGAACCGCAGTCGATTACATGGGAGTTCAGCGACACAGCCATTACGCTAACTGCTGGTCCTGCAAACATACTTTTGAAAAGAGGAAGGGCAGAAGGACAAACCGGTGAGTAGAAGGGGCTGTGTGTAACATACGCTGTGTTTACTGTGAGCTGGCCTTGCGCTCATGTTTATGATAAACACCAAGCCACAGTCTCTAGGGGACCCACTATTTCCGAAAGCCCTCGTGTTCTCCGTGACCTGACCGTCATGGCTCCTTCTTCGGTGTTCCTTCCAACTCCCGACCAGCCCTTCCCTGAGTTATAAACAGAACTTATAAATGACAAGGGCACTTAGGGCCTGCAGATGGGTGTTGTCAGCTTCACCCTTTCCCTGAGGTCATGAGATAATTCACACATGGGCTCCCTGTTGGTCATGGGTCTTTGAATCCACAAATAAGGAGGGGCTTCCGCATCAGAGATCTGGATTGTGAGGTTTTCCCTTTGCAAGCAGAAGCCCAGTCATTGGCTAGATGGCTCCTTCCGTGAGAGGCCCCTCGCGTGGTACTTACGAATTCATTGTATAGATCCATGGCGGCCGTTTGGAACTTCTGAGCAATGAGGCCTGCACGGTTAAACAGTTCTGTGAGGGACAGCTGGCAGTTGGTCGACCCCCTGGGACAGCCAGACATGGAGGCCACGCCCTCGCACTGGAGCAGAGTTGACAGCAGGAACAGTGACAGCAGGAGTGACCCTGGTGAAAGAAAGACAGGAGCACCTCTGAGATGATCTGTTCAGTCGAGGTTATCAAAGTCATCTTGCTGAAAGGAGGGGATCGGGTGGCTCCCAGCTGCCATCAGCTTACTGTGTGGGTACAGCAAGAGCGGGGATGGCAGAAGGGCCAACACCGTTCACTGGGCACATTTAGATACATCATTATCTTTGCACAGATAGACCGTTTGAGAAGTGCATGACTCCCTCGATTTTCCTATTGCTCCCAGAAGTCCTTTTGTACTTCGCAAACATTTGGAGCTTGAATTAATTCTGAGCCAGGGTCATTCTTGTAAGACAGTAGACTGTCTTGGGAGATTTTGCCGATTTTTAGCAGTCAGTCTCTCTAGGAGTTTGTATTTTTTTTTTTTTTTTAACTCAGCGTCATCTGAGTTTACAACTTAGCCACCAATCTAAGGAGAACAACGCTGCTGATCTGTTTTACCTTCAGGCTGGATTCGAATAGACACGGGTCTGCTTGGTTGCGAATGCTGAGCAGAGAGAATGGTGACTTAACAAATGGTGTTATCATGGGACCAGCATAACGGTTATGTCGCTGGACTCCCATGTAGTCAACCACAGTTCGAGTCCCGGACTCGGTGGCTTAAAACTCACACTGGGCGCATGTGCATGCATGCCCAAGATTCTGACAAGAGAATGGAGGAGAAGGGATTGTGGCATGGCCGTCCCCCCTGGGGGGTGATTTCTCGCTTTCTGCCTGTCTCTGTCTTTCTGGTGAGCACACGTGCCCTATAGCAAAAACCTCTCCAAAACAAACAAACAAACAAACAAACGGTACTATCTCCAGATCCATAAGCTCACCACAATGATAACATCCATCTGTTTGGCACTTGGCCGAAAGCTTTCATTTTTTTTTTCTCCCTAAATTTGAGGTTCATACTAACCCTACGAGATAGTCTCGGCCTTTGTAATCATCATTCAATTACATAGATGACATGGGTGGCTTATAGAGGCTAAGAGATGTCCCAAGCACCGGGGGTGGGCCGGCCTCCAGGGGCTGTTGCTGTCACGTCACACACACCTGTTGGCTCGCAGACTGCGTCTGTGTCACAGGGACCCTGTCAGGGGTCAGGGTGGCTTGGTGCTGGTGGAGCTTGCTGCCATTCCTCGTAAGGAACGGCACCTTGCCTGCGATTGCACGATAGCAGAGGCTAGAAAGCTGGATTTGACCCCTTTCCCTGCTCTGCCTATAAAACACACTTAAAACCTTCCACAATCAGAGTCGATTTTGTCATCCATTTGCCGTCTCATCAGCGGGTGCCTATAGACACCTCAACTGTCCATCACTAGCACCTTCAAAAGGACGGGGGTGATGGGCAGCTTGGGTGCAAAGTCCTCTGACCACTTCCCTGGTCCATATCCAAGGGGATAAGGGAGAGCAGCCTGCAGTCACAGAGAGCCGAGTACCACAGAACCTCCACCGACACAATCGGAAATGTCCAAGGCAAAACCAGACACACGCTAAATGTTTGTGCTAAAAAAAAAACCCTAATGCTAAATCTATTTAAAAAATACCTAAAATATTTAGTATGAAATGTAGCTAAATCACATTTTACCTGCAAAATAGAAAACATTGCAAGATGATCTATCTTATAGAAATACTAGTCTTCCAGAAAGTTTATTTTATGCTTGTTATAGGCATATCATGTAGCCAGATGGATATGCTATCTGCATGTGGAAATGAGATGTGCTTTGCAGAGAGAGACTGGAACAGCGACTCCAGGACCTTCATAACCGGATAGATATTCTTTATCCTGCACATTTATCATCTAAGAGACTTGTACAGTCAGAGATGAGATAAAATAGATAAATGTTTTTCTTCATTTTATAAAACAAATGTTATTGCTGTTACTAATTTACTTTTCTTGCACATGTCAACCAAGAAAGTGAGGATGATTCGTTATCACTAGCCTGTTTTTCCTTTTGAAATGTCATTTGGCTTGAACCAAATTGACAAAGCCATGCCAGAGACGGTTCTGTTAGCGTCTGTGTTATGGCTTCATTGCTGTAAGTTACCTAAGATCGGTCAAAGTTGGCCAATCCACGTTCCCTGGCCAGACCAGGGAACCAGGAAACGTTCATGTCTGCCATTTGGAGTTGTGACCAATGGGACCTAAGGAGGACTCTTTTGGTCTTAATCTGGGTATCGATGGCATTTTCAAGCTGGGTAATTCTTTGCTCTGTTCTGGAGGCTGTCCTGTGCATTGAAGGACCTGTGACCGCATTCTCACCTCCACCCACTACAGTCCAAAGGCACCTCTTTCCCACCTTCCTCAACTCCTGGCCTCAATTGAGATGATCATAAATGTCCCCAGATATCCCCAAATGTCTCCAAGAGCAGAATTACCCTGTTTGAGGCTCCTTGCTGTCTCCCATAGCTTCCTTGCACAGTTGCATTCTAGAGTTCTTCTGGAAACCTGAAACCTCTTGTTAGGAGAACATTCACTATCATATCATGCTAATGCCCCCAAGGAGTGCTGATAAGCCAGTCAGGGAGTGTCCCACGTACCTTTCGGTGGTGACCCTTTGCTGTTCATGGTGGTGACAATTGCGGGAAAGGCACGCCACCACAGACCTGCAAGTTCTACAGCTGTCCCTTCCCCAGATATTGGCTTTATAAGCCTTTGACATCTTCATGAATATCTTTAATCAGACACTCTCTTCCCTTTTCCTGGTCATCTATTTCCGTCATTGAGATTACCCCCATAATTTCAAACATCAAATGGTATTTTATTTCTTATTCATATTCAGGAAGACAGACTGGCCAGAAATGAGCATTCTAGGAAGGATTTTGATTAATTAGACCAAACGGAAATGAGAGAAATAATGGAGGTGTGATCTGGAGGCAGGTTTGGGTTAAAGAATCTGTAAAAGCCCCAAGCCATTTAACGTTTACCTTCGTTTCTCTGTAGTTTTTTTTTTAATATAAAGTGTTATATTTCACTTAAGCAACAGTCTTAGGTATTAGTAATTATTAAATTTCTCATTCAAGATTGCTAGGGAAGTGAAGATTTCAAATGTACACACTGTGTACCTGGAGATGTAGATAAGAATTGAGAATGAAGGAGTTTCAGTTCCCTGTGATACTCTCAGTAAATATCTCTCTCATTTTTGTCTTGCTTTACACATTCTTTTGCCATTTTAAAAATCATATCAATGTGGTACTTTCCATTATAACATGCATTTTCATCCGTTTACCTTTTTTCCAAGTTTTTGTCAAAGGGTGCATGCGCTTGTTAGAGAGAGACAGAGAGAGAAGGAAAGTGAGAAAACACCCCTGGGACAGATGGCCACACTGCAATCCCTTCTCCTCCATCCTCCTTCTGGGATTTTGGACATGCATGAACCTGGTGTGATTTCAAGTCACTGGTCCAGAACTTGAAACAAAGGGTAGGCCCTGTGGAATCCAGCGCCGTAACCTCCATGCCACCTGCTGGCCCTGTCTTGATTTTAGCATATGTGAATAGTTGTGTTATTATCCCGTTTACAGATGAAGAAACAGAGACATAGAGAGAGCAAGTGTAAAATGTATAGAAGAAATAATTCCATGGTAAATTAGACGGGGAGAAGTGATCGATTCAAGAGGAATCAGGAGGGTGTGAGGAAGTCTGGGAGATGAGCCCTTTAAGAAATATCTCTGTACACTATGTCTAAGATGAGCAAGGCACCACTCCCCATCTTGGGGTTGTTACTTGGGGAAAGTCACATAGTAGTTTCAGGTACAAAGTACTCCCTCCACACACACACTCATACACACACACACTCATACTCTGACATGTGTTCAACACAACCTAGCATGAGATGTATTATGATAACATGGATGTCTGGCCAATGGTTTCCTCTCTTCTGGGGCAGAGGTGGATAAACTGTTAGGTACTTCTTGTCACTTTCCATTCTCTGACTCCAAGCCATTCTGGGGCAAAGGTAATACAAATTCATCTTTCATGGGCTCAGAAGTTCCATTCCCCTTTCGGAGATTTTCTAGATGAAATTATTGTGATGAACAAGGGCCGTGTGGTCATGACTTCCTCCAATTTTTGAGTCTATGCATTGAAAGCAGCTTGTGACCTTCACTTTCAGCTGTGCTGCCTTGTACGGCCAACTGACAGATGAGTGGATTTAAAAATAATCTCTTTGGTGGCATTTCCTTTTTCTGTCGCTGCTAGTGCCACGTTCGTGCATTAGCAATGATCTGACCAAGTGTTCTTTTGGGGACCTATTGTAGAAATCTTTTCAAAGACCAATGTCACTAACAAACTATCTTCTTAATTGCCTTAGCTTAAGCGACCCTAGATTTTTAATTATAAACATCAAGTGTAATGATTCAGAAACTCCAGTACTCTGAAGACTGGGTCAAGATTTCATGTGCACATGCTACGTGGCCTTTTCCCCCGGATAGTGAATGTCTACATTTTTTTTTTTTTAGAGTTTTTGTCACAGGGTGCATGGACTCCCTGGAGAGAGACAGTGAGTGGGAAAGTCAGAAATCAGCCTCCAGGGGTATGGTCACACTGTACCCCCTTCGCTTCTATTTCCATTCTGGAATTCTGGGCATGCACGCACACACAACCAGTGTGATTTTCAAGCTGCTGGGTCCAGGACTTGAACTACGGTTGGCCATGTGGGAGTCCCACGCCTTAACCATTAGGCTGCCTGCTGGCCCAGAAAATGTGAATTATTAAGAAAGCAGAGAACTGTGTGCTAGAGAAATGAATGCTGCCCGCTGTGCCCCTCCTCTCCTAGCAACTGGAGAGTAAGAAAATCTGCCGTGAGAGCTGACACCGACAACTTAATCTTAAAATTTAAAGGTGTTACAGCTTTTGCAGATAGCCAGGATAAGAGTAATCTGAGGAAACCTGAGCTGCGTTTATTCAGTGGAGGGCCATTGATTTATTTGACTGCAAAAAGGTGTATGTGTTCCTCCGTGAGATTTACTGGGCACCGCTCTCCTTCTCTCTGACC